TGAGCCTAGCTTGGCCAGAGACCTGTTCTGCGAACTTCCAGAAGCCACAACCAAAGAAAGAACAGCTCTGAGGGGCCCTCTAACACGAGACAGATCAGACCTCCCAGACGCCCTGAAGCAGCCACAGGGGGACTGTGACAAAGGAGCCAACCCAACTCAACTCAAGACAGACGTTCCAGACCAAAGAGCAGCCATTCACCCTTGCCAGGCACATCCCGTGTGCCCAGGGCAGGGCTTCACTGACCCAGTTCACTTGCTCCCCAAACACATCTCTCTGGGCAGGTCCTCACACTGTCCCCATTTTACAGACGAGACTGGCCACAGCAGAGGCTCGGAGTGGTCACGTGGGGCCAGAGTGGAGCCTGCTTACCACCACAGCCTCGGGGCACTTCCCCAGCATGCCAGCACCACCCACGGGCACAGCTTCACTGCCTGACACTGTTGTTCCCTCCTTCAAGCAGCAGCAGCAGCCAGCAAAGACACAAGGGGCAGCCCTGCTCCTACTTCTCAACGATGCCTTTTCTCCTGAGACTCCCCTGAACACAGCGCAGAGAAAACTAGACAGTGAGAACCCCTCCCTAGAGACATCCTTCAAGGAAGCGCTTGGTAACACGCCCTTACCAGAGGACCTAAGGCTCCCAGGGACGTAGCTCCCCTGCCGAGGGTGTTTCATTCACCAGAACACAACTCCCAAGACAGAGAAAACATGGCTGCAGCAGCAACAAAATGAAAATGAAATTTAGGAACAATTTAGACAGGAACGTAAATGAACTTGAGCTGGTCTACATTTGCTCTAGATGGCATGAATGCTCAGCATGTCAGACTGTTTGCGACCCCATGGATTGTAGACTTCCAGGCTCCTCTGTCCGTCCATGGGATTTCCCAGGCAAGAATACTGGAGTGGGTTTGCCATTTCCTCTTCCAGAGGATCTTCCCAACCCAGGGACCAAACTTGCATCTCCCGAGTCTCCTGATTGGCAGGCAGGTTCTTTACCACTGGGCTACCTAGGAAGCCCCAGGTTTGCTCTAAAACACCTTCTATGGCCTGTGAAGACCGAGGTTGGACTTGAGGCTGGCCCTCACCCAGGAAGGATGCACTAACTCTGTACTTGGAGCACAAGGGTACAACCTCAGCCCCAGCACGGGGCCTGCCGCCCACAGGACCTACTCTACAAATACATGTTGAGTATTCAGTAAATCAGTTACTATATAAAAGGTATACACCAACCTACTAGCAGCAGTTATCTCTGGGGAGCGAGGTTGGAAGGGAAAACTTTTAGTTTTATGAATTTATTGGATAAAGATTAATTCTGTCATTTTAACTGTCCTCAGCAAAGGACCAGAATCGAAGCTGTGGCGCACTGGCCCCTGACCCACAGCAGCCTCAGGGAGCACAGCCCTGTCCCTGGTCACTCCCTCACCGCAGAGGATCAAAGTCACTATCCAGGAACTTAGAAGACACACAGCCCGATTCCGGAGGGTGGGCAGTCAGCTCGACCTGAGAAGCCTGGTGGGAGAACCCCATCAGTACACAAGGTGCTCAGGCTTGGGGCACAGGGCTCCTCCCAGGACCCATATGTTGTTTGTGAAAGTGCAGCATCAGCAGTTTGGGGCTGGGGAGGCACCTCAGTAGGTGGAGGGCTGGCCCAAGGACATACCAGTCAAGAGGGGTCACCACCACGTGGCAAGCCTGCAGGTCAGTTCTCAGGAAAGCTCTGCCCAGCTCGGTTCAATAGATGAGAAAGCAGGGCTGGAGTCAGTGAGCTGGTGGGTCAGGCCAGGGACAGCCCCGCACCAGCACAGAGTTGGCATGCCGATGCTCGAGACACAGGAGGGAGGGAGGATGGGTTCCCGGGGAGCAGAGGGCAGTGAGCCAGGCCAAGCAGGAGAGGAGAGATGACTGACAGCACAAGGGCCCAGCAGGGCAGCAGGCAGCGGTGAACCCCTGCACTGACGGCCCAGCACAGTGCTCTGGGGCACCCCCTCACCACCCCTGCCAGCCAAACCTCCGGCAGCTACCACACTTATGAAAACCACATGTGAACCTACAGTGACCTCCATCCACATTTCAGTTGAAAACAACCCACTCCTAGCACTGACATATATCCACTACCATGCATAAAATAAATAGCTAGTGGGAAGCTGCTATATAACACAGGGATCCCAGTCCGGTGCTCTGTGACGACATAGAGGGGCGGGATGGAGTCGGAGGGAGGCTCAAGAGGGAGGGGATATGTACACACTTACGGTGACTTACAGTGTTGAACGGCAGGAACTAATACAACAGTGTAAAGCAATTAACCTCCAATTAAAAATTTAAAAAAAAAAACAGAGTGAAAGCAACTCACTTCTCCCACATTGCGGTATTTTACAAATGAACAAATAGCCGAGTCCCATCACGACATCAAAATAAAACCAAGCCCTCGGCAAGTTAGACAAGTGATTCCCACCACTGAAGCCAGCACCAGCCCCTGCCTGGGCCCCTCAGGGCCATAAAACACTATCCAGCAAAACAACTCTTTCAAGAGTGAGTCACAAAAGCCCAGGAGATCCTGTGCAGAATTTGTAACAGAAACAATAACCGCTGTCAGAACGTGGGCTGGGTGCCTGGGAGGCTGCTCATGGGGACTGAGCAAGAGGCTCTCTGCTCCCAGGTGGTCTGGGGACTGGAGAGGAGGCTGCCCTGGTCCCCTCTCCCTCAGAGGAGTGAGCACAGCTCCCGCCCACTGAAGTCAGCTCCCGCCCACCTGCTACAGCGCATTCTGGTCATTTGTTTCTAAACAACAACATGAATTGTTCTTCATTTTTGCCGTTTTACAGGCACCACCTGCATCCATCAAAGGCCCCAGTGCCCGCCACTCCACATCAGAGGCAAACTGGAGGCCAAGGAGGCTCAGCTCGTCCAAAAACGCGAACTCAGGGTCAGGAGCTGAACTCAAGCTCCTTGAATCCAGAACTCCTCTCCATGATGCAGCCCTTTACCCCTCCAGCCCGACCTGAGATGCTGAGAACAAACAGGGGCCTGTCTAGGCCCCTGAGATGCTCCTGCGCCTCCCAGGAGGGACACAGAAGCCGGTCCGCGCTTGCTTCTGTATCTTCATGTTTTAGCTGCAGTTCTACTGACCCCCGCTGGTGACAGATGCACATCAGGCCCCAAGAACATTCTGCTTAAACATCCAGAATCCCAGGTCAGAAAAACTCATCCGCTGACTTCCTACTTCCTGCAGGTGCCCACCTGGGTACCTAATACCTGCGCTGTCCGGGGGGAGGTGGGGGGGCGGGAGAGGGTGCCGCGCCGCACCTCCCAGACCAGTGGGCGGGGCGGGGCGAGGTGGGGCTTAAATCCTGATGTAGGTGTCGCACTTCCATCACTCAGTCCTGCAGCACAACCAGGTGATCTCTCCAGCCTGTAACTCTTACTACTCCTCCCTCTGGGCTAAACACGGGTGCCTCACAGGGGGCAATATGGCTGCTTAGAGGGGGTGCTGCAGGGACGGGGGTTAGGGCTCAGTGACCCAGGGCAGATCCAAACCTGGAACACACACACACACAAGAACATGCTCCTGTTCATGGTTAATTGGTCATTTCTGATATATCATCATCTGGTCTCTGAGACATTGGAGAAACAATGAGCTCAGGATGGTGACAACCACCATACACCCGTCCCAGGAGTTCGTGACCTCAGATGACAAGGTCTGCAGCCCAGCCTAGACCCCAGCACCCAGGCCACGTGCACAGACATCGTTGCTGAGACACACACTCCTTCCTGAAGCTGAGCCTCCTCTTTGGGTCCTGGGTGTTTCTGTTCTGAGCCAAACACTCGGCACCTCCCACTTTTCCTCCCTGCTGCTCACAACCAAAGCCATATCCTGCCTCTCCTGGATGGAGCAGGGAGCCAGCTCCCCAAAAACAGAGGTTCCAGCGGCACCAGGTGGGAAAGGCTGGTGCAGTCCCTTCTCCTAGATTCTTCCAGACAGCCAGAAAAAAGCCCCCAGAAGTGCCCGGAAGGAGCAGAAGGCCAAGGAGGTGCAGCCCATCAGTAGAACCCCCAGAGGGATTCATGGTTGTGAAGGACTGACCTTTATCAACCAGGAGAATCAACTCCTAAATCACACCAAGTCCCAGCCCTGAGCCTGTCCCATGGATCTCACCTCCAAAGTAATCAAGCAGCTTCACTCACGAGTCGAAAGGTGGACCAGCCCAGTGTCAGTGGGCAGGTAAATGGATAAACAAAAGGTGGTCCTTCCATACAATGGGGTACTCTTCAGCCTTAATAAGAGAGGAAATTCTGACACATGCAACAACACAGATGAACCTTGGGGACATTATGCCAAGTGAAATAAACCAGTCACGGAAGGACTGACGGAAGTGCAGGATTCCACTTCTTGAGGTCTCTAAAGGACTCAGTCAGAGGGACAGAGAGTGGAATGGTGGGGGGCAGAGGCTGGAAGTGGGGGGCAGAGGGGGCAGAGAGATGGGGAATTGGTATTTAATGGGACAGAGTTTCAGTTAGGGAAGATGGAAAGGCTCTGGAGATGGATGGGGGGATGGCTGCACAACAGTGCGAGTGGACTTAATGCCACGGAGCTGCACACTTAAAACTGGCTAAAATAGTGAGTTTTACGTTATAGCTATTTTACCACAATTAAGAAGTCACAGTAACCAAGCCACTCATACGGCGGTCCAACACGGGTGGGATCCAGCAACAGTGGTTCTCCTGGTCATGGTCACAAAGACATGAGCTATCTGCCTCATGAGACCATTTTCCGAGGAGAGAAGGCAGAGAGGACCCGAGGGATGCGAGGTATGTTCAGGAAGGGAACGCCAGTGAGAGACACAGCCACCCTCCTCCTCCTCCCCACTTCCCCCTTCTTCTCCCCCACCACCACTGGGCTGTTAGCCAGAGGGACCCAACCAGCGCTCACCCCATGCAGCCCAGTTCCTACAAGATCTGACCTAACAGAGACTCATCAAGTGACCAGAAACAGAAGAGTCCTCACCTGATTCTCCGTGAGCTGGAAGGAGGCCAGGTATCTGCTGCAGACCGGACACCAGAAGGTTCTCGGGAAGAAGGTGGAACACGGGCTCCAGAAGTGGGTGTGGCCTCAGCGTGTACTGCAGGCTGCAGTTCTCAATGAGGGTCATGTGCTTGTTCTCTGGGGGAGAAAACACCTCCTGTGACACCTGAAACCAAGGCACCTTCAGTCAAACCAGCCAATAAGCCGAGAATCTTGGGAAAGAGCCAAACAAACAGAAAAAGTATTTATCTAGGAAGAGAGGGGAATTGCTCTGTTCGTTCAGCCAAGAGCAAAAAAGAATCAACCCCTAATAACTCTCTTTGGTAAAACTGCAATGAAAGAGACACCTGTTTTTGATCTGACATAATAGAATCTCTGGACTCACCTCTTCCCCTGAGCAGTGAAGTCAGGTATGGCTCGCTCCCATGATCAGAGGGACCCTGGAGGGCGCTCTGACAAGAATATCTCTTCTTCAGTCTCAGCCTCGCATTCATTGATCCCCACAATGCAGCAGGACTAGGTACTGGGCAGCCAGCAACCTCCAAGACAAGAGTCCTGTCCTCTAAGGGGACATAAGCCTGCGGTGACTAAGATACAAGCCTACTGACACCTCTAACACATGGGAGAATGGGATCCAAACCCCAAGAAAATTTTGGATAACACACTGGGGAAGTGGGAAGAAGGAGAGTGTCCTGAGAAAGGAACCGCTGGGAAGAGTTTAGACAGAGTTCTCAGGGAGGTGGAGGGAAGGCGTCAGCAGAAACTGGGCACAGGGCCACAGGGCCTGGGGTTGAGGGGGACACAGACACGCCCTCAACACATGGCCACCAAATGGTGCATCTTGCTACTGCTTGATTTCCTCCACTGACAGGGGACTCACCACCTCCTGAGGCACACTAAGTGATTTCATAAGAACTAAATGTGCATTCATTAGAAAATAAAACTGTATTATTGAAAATTGCATTTTTAATATCTGACCACTCCACTCATGGGATCTGCTTACTGTAAGATGTTAAATGCCCTAAAAGGCACTCTGCTACATGGCTGGCTGGAGAACACATTGGTACAACCTCCATGGAGGGCAAACAGAGGAAATAATACAAAACTGCACATGGAGGGGCCCCCAGACCAGCAATCCCACTTCCAGGAATTTAGCCTACGCATTCACATGCACATTCACAAAAGGGCAAATGTTCACTGCACCTTCAACCCTCTGCTCCTATAGAACAGCTCCAAGTGTCTGTTTGGCGGGGGGTGGTTCAGTCACAAACAGCAATTCAACTAAATGCCACCCAGTGGTAGAAAGAGTGAGCATGCTTCCTAGTGCTGATATGAAACACCCTTCAAGATAAACAGTTAAAGGGAAAAATAAAGGTCTAGAACGACTGGACGGCAGCAAAAACAGGACCACGGGCATGCACATTTGCTCATGTGTTATCAGAAGACACAGAAGGACCCACAAGACCCCAGAGAGGAAATCACCTGTGATGCAGGCGAGGAGCTGAGCACAGGGGTGAGGAGACCTCACCTGAACCTTCTCACACTGTTTCATACTTTGAATTCTGGATTATGTGAGTACATCACCCAGTCAAGAAAAATATCCCACATTTCTGGAAATGCCCCCTGAGGATGAGCTGTCAGTCTGTGGCTGTCCTTCCTCAGGCCCCTCATACAACCATAGCCCCCATACCCTCCACCAGAACAGTGGTCCTAAAATGGACCTGGATGGGGAGGTGGGTGCTGCTTGCTATTTAACAGTTGCTGAGCCTAAGGATACTTCAGGAGAGAAAATGCTGGCAAGTTGATGATTAAATTCAACTGGGAAATAACCTAAAAGGGCTTCCCTGGTGGCTCAGACAGTAAAGAATCTGCCTGCAATGTGGGAGACACTGGTTTGATCCCTGGGTCGAGAAGAAACCCTGGGGAAGGGAATGAATATGCACTCCAGTACATTAAGGCTGTATATTGTCACCCTGCTTATTTTAACTTACATGCAGAGTACATCATGAGAAATGCACAGCTGGACGAAGCACAAACTGGAATCAAGATTGTCAAGAGAAATATCAATAACCTCAGATATGCAGATGACATCACCCTTATGGCAGAAAGAGAAGAAGAACTAAAGAGACTCTTGATGAAAGTGAAAGAGGAGAGTGAAAAATCTGGCTTAAAACTCAACATTCAAAAAACTAAAATCATGGCATCCAGTCCCATCACTTCATGACAAATAGATGGGGAAACAATGGAAACAGTGACAGACTTTATTTTCTTGGGTTACAAAATCACTGCAGATGGTGACTGCAGCCATGAAATTAAAAGACACTTGCTCCTTGGAAGAAAAGCTATGACCAACCCAGACAACTTATTAAAAAGCCAAGACATTACTTTGCCAACAAAGGTCCATCTAGTCAAAGTTATGGTTTTACCAGTAGTCATGTATGGATGTGACAGTTGGACTATAAAGAAAGCTGAGCACTGAAGAATTGATGCTTTTGAACTGTGGTGTTGGAGAAGACTCTTAAAGAGTCCCTTGGACTGCAAGGAGATCAAACCAGTCCATCCTAAAGGATATCAGTCCTGAATATTCATTGGAAGGACTGATGCTGAAGCTGAAACTCCAATACTTTGGCCACCTGACACGAAGAACTGACTCATCGGAAAAAACCCTGATGCTGAGAAAGATCGAAGGTAGGAGGGAGAAGGGGATAACAGAGAACAAGATAGTTGGATAGCATCACTGACTCAATGGAACATGAGTTTGAGCAAGCTCCGGGAGTTAGTGATGGACAGGGAAATCTGGTGTGCTGCAGTCCACGGGGTTGAAAAGAGTCAGACATGACTGAGAAACTGAACTGAACTGAACTGATCCACTCCAATATTCTTGCCTGGAAAATTCCATGGACAGAGGAGCCTGGCAGGCTACAGTCCATGGGGTCGCAAAGTCAGACATGACTGAGCAACTAACACTAAAAGCCAGTCTTTATCATTAATCTAAGTTTCTGACCAACTGTTCCTCGATCATGAGATTTTCACCAAATTCAGGAAGTGGAAGGAGGCTCAGGATTTCACACAGGCTGGAAGGCAGACACCAAGTTCTCACCATGGAATCCAGGCAACATCTCAGAGACAGAAAGTCACCCCCGCCCCCACTGTCCCCAAACAGATCCACCTCCACTGCTAGAACCCTGTTCACATCCCCCAGGTCAGAAAAGAGCCCCACACCAGGCCCCTGAAATGGCTTGTCAGCCCATCCTCTGCTTCACCGGGCACCCCTCCGTCCACCCTCCACTCAGTCAGCAGCCAGGGGGCGCCTCACGTCTCTCCCAGGAGCACCCTGGGTGCTGGAGTGGGGCGGGGGGGGGGGGGGCAGGAGAAGCCACAGAAGCAGGCAGGAAGCCCCCACTGCTCTAAGGCGGCCACTTGGCGCTGAGTCCACACAGAGTAGGCGCTCCTGCAGGATGTCCCTGTAATTGGCACCACTGGATACCTTGCTGTGCTGGAGATAACCCATGCACTTTCTGGTCAGAGGCTTCCAGGGACAGCCGGTGACCATGTTCGACAGCAACTACTCACGTGGGGGCAAAGCTGCTACCCAGAGGCTGGGGGGCCAGCAGCCCTCCCTCCAGGTGGACCCCACGGGGTCACCCTCACAAAGTTATGTGCTTCCTTCAGGCTCGTATGTCTCAGGTCTTTAAATTTTCATTGTTTTTTTTTTACTTTTTGGCTGCACCACTCGGCACACAGGATCCCAGTTCCCCGATCAGGGATGGAACCTTCAGCCGCTGCAGTGGGAGCACAGAGTCCCAACCACTTGGCCGTCAGGGAAGTCCCCGGGTCTTTAAATTATATCAGACTCCAAGCCCACATTACACGTTCCTCAGATCTATTAACACCTGAGCTAAGCTGGTGACGCGCTAATACTCAGGGAAGTGACATGATGAGCAGGTGCTGTGGAGGCCCGGCCAGACCACGTCTCTTACGTTCTATGGGGTCCTGAAGGAGCGGGTGGAGGAGGGCTCGCGGGCTCCCGTGATACAGTCTCAGCCTGCAAAACAAGACGCGTGAGCCGCACATCAGCACCTTGCATTCAGTCACAGGACCCCAGCTATGCTTCTCGAAAGCAAGGCCTGTGGGGGCCTCCGCTCCACCCCTCTGGGAGCTTCCTCCACCCTCTGCGGGAAACAGGGACGCCTGAGCACAGCATCGGCTCCATGAGCCCACAGCGCTGGTGGGCAAGTTTGTCCAGAGTACACACTGCATGGTCTGAATGCAGCCTGAGCAAGGGCACCAGAAACAATGCCTGGGGAGCGGCTTGTGCCTGAAAGCGTCCCAAGATTTGAAACATTTGAGGGGCTTCCACAGCTGTGTGTCTAGAGTGATGGTTCCCAACCAGGGAGCATTTTGCCCCGTTGGGGCAACTGGTAAAGTCTGGAGATGTTTTTGGCTGTCAGAGCTGGGCAGGGAGAGGGCTACTGGCATCTCATGGGCTGTGAAACCATACATTGTTCAGGACGGCCTCGTAACAAAGGCATACCAAGCCCAAAGTGTCCATGGAGCCAGGGTGGATAAGCCCCCATCTACAGTGACAACGCAAACCCCACCATGGCTGAAATGACCACACACCATCTCACCCATCTGGGCACGTTCAGGTCCTAACATAACAGAGCCTGGCACATGGCAGACCCCCAGCCAGTGTTTGCTGAGTGAGCCCCTACTGCTCCCTGGGAGCTTGCCTGGGAAGAACCTACTGCTTACACTCTGGACCCTTAGGAGGTGGACACTGCTGTCCATCAGGCACAGATGATGAATTCAGAGTCAACAGTTTAAACAGCTGGCCCAAGACCCCACAGGAGTACGGATGGAGCAGGACTCAGCCCTTATCCTCCTTACATCAATCCCACCACCTTGGCCAAAGCCAGTCCTGCTCACACCTGGAAAAGGATGGCTGGGCTTACACAGCAACAGAAAACACAGTTACAACCTGAAGCAAAAACATCCCCAGGAAACTGTGATAAACACACACAAACTGACAAATTCAGAGCTTCCTATTGTGAATGAGCCATTAATTCACCACAGAGAGATGCTGGGAACCCTAACAACTGAAGAGACGAGGCAGATACCGTTTGTCCTGGGAGGTGGAAGTTGGAGATTCCGGCTTGGGGCTGAAGATCCGAAGGATTCCAAACCCACAGGACAGAGTCTGGAGGGTCCCGTCTCGTCTCCTGCCTTCAACGACCACCTCCACCACGGCCACGACATGAGGGTGGTTCAAGGATGTGTGAAAATACAAGGGCTGCCAAAGAGAAGTGGACAGAGTGAACGCTCTTGACCTGCAAGAAGGAAGCTCAGGGACACAGGCAGGCTCCCTCCTCACCCTCCACTATTCTCATGTTGATGCTGCAAACACACCATATGGGGAATAGCATCCCTTCCAGGCACGAGAGGAGAAGGGGCCAGGAAGGGAGCCCCTCAGAGACAGACCCTGGGGTCACAGCTCCTCCTTCCAGGACACCCAGCATCTGGATGCAGGACTGCTTGCTTCTCCTTTGGGAGTTTTTCATCCACAGAAGATGCCAGAAGACATCAGAGCCTCTGGAGAGGAAAAGGGTTGCGGCAGCCGTGCTCCCCACCCTTGTCACCTGCCAGGACCATGAGCCCAAAGATGTAAGTGGCCCATGGCACCCATGCATCCAGTGAACTGCCCACCACACCCACACATCCACTGAGCTGCCCACATTGCCCACATGTCCGCAGAGCCCTTTCATGCAACGCCCAAACTTCAATCACAACTCGCCAATACTGACTCTAATCCCTGTTTCCTGTGGAAATACCATGAGGCTGCATCTGAATGAATTCTGTTTTAACTAAGCAATATCCTGGGATTTCCTGAGGATTTCATTCTGTCATTTCCAACCCAGAATGAGATGGTTGGATAGCATCACCAACTCAATGGACATGAGCAAACTCCGGCAGATAGTGAAGGACAGGGAAGCCTGGTGTGCTGCAGTCCACAGGGTCGCAGACAGTCAGACATGATGACTTAGCGACTGAACAACAACAACAAAAATCTTTGTTTATAACAAATATAGCCTTGAGAATATTTAAGACAAGATTTGGTGAGGCGGGGGTCCAAGCCAAGCAGAGGATACTCAAATTGCTACTAAAAGGTTTCCCACTTGTAGCTTCTCCATGGGGTAGGGAGTGAGAAAGACAACACAGACGGGTCAAACCCAGCTCCTGTCACTGAGATGCACATGCCCACACGGGAACAGAAACACCTTCCTTCTGCCACTGTTTCCAATCTCCTAAAATCCAGTGCAGTCACTCTCATATAAAACTAACAAACATCACAGACACAGATGACAGAAAAGGAGGTGCGAACTGGGCTTGCAAATCTTCAGGGAACAAGCGTCCCGGGAGCCCAGGTCAGTGCTGAACTGAGGCTCTGTACTCAAGGGGTCCCTGGCATCCAGCATCCTTGTTAGGGTGAAGCCCAGGTGGTAGGGTCACCAACTGAGCACAAAGACCACCCCCCAATGCAGGGCTGGCCAGCCGGGCTGCAGCAATGTGATTTAAACTTGGAATAATCCCCCATTAACGAGTCATTACCATGGTGTCACCAAGAAAACGTTTACTGTAATCACAGACTGTCAGCCCAGGATAACAGAGAGACACATTAAAACATCAGCCATGAGATATAAATCGTTATTCTATTATCTTTTATTGCAAATTGATGAAATAATGACCACTTACAGCTGACAGGTGGTTGGACCAAGAGAGAATTATGCTTCCGTTTCCAAGACTTGAGGACTGTTTTAAAAAGCCCCACCATAAAGTCAAGTTTGTCATTATCTCACCTCCCACATTTACACCTGTGCATATCGGTTTTATGGACACTACCCACTTTTCTTCTTGGCAGTGAAACAAACATTGTCAGCTCTGATGCAGAGCAGGCATAATCCTCCAGCTTAAGAGGTCACCTTGAAATCCTTTGCCCAGAGGCGGTAGGGCCAGCTGCTTTGGGCATGTCCCAGGTACCAATTGGACTTCCCTGGTGGCTCAGCTGGTAAAGAAGCTGCCTGCAGTGCGGGAGACCTGGGTTTGATCCCTGGGTTGGGAAGATCCCCTGAAGAAGGGCACGGCCACCCACTCCAGTATTCTGGCCTGGAGAATTCCATGGACTGTATAGTCCATGGGGTCACAAAGAGTCAGACACGACTAAGCGACTTTGACTTTCACGTACCAATTCATGGCTATTGCCTCTCCACTTCCTTTACCACTGCAAACAATTACTGAGACCAAACTAACCACAGAGCCCCACTCTGGTCTCTCCCAGAGACTCCACTTTCACCAGCAGGGTCAGCCTTGGAAGCTCAGCCTGTTACAAGGCAACACAGGGTCTGAGTGCCTCATCCCCTCACTACTGATGGGTAAGGACTAATGCTTTTCCAAACGTGATTTACTGCCTCTCTAATGAGAGCGCCGTGCATATTAAAGAATTTCTAGGGACTTCTCTGGTGATCCAGTGGTTAAGACTTCACTTTCCAATGCAAGAGATGAGGGTTCGATCCCTGGTCAGGGGGCTAAGATCCCATGTGTCTCTCAGTCAAACAAAACAAAACACAAAACAGAATCAATTTATTGGAACAAATCCAATAAAGACTTTTTTAAAAAATGGTCCACATTAAAAAAAAAAAAAGAATTTCTAAGGAACCTGGAAACACGATCTAGCCCTCAAGAAGTTCAAATGTAAAGGTTAATTTGTTGTTGTTCTTCAGTCGTTAAATTGTGTCCAACTCTGTGACCCCATAGACTGTAGCACACCAGGCTTCCCTGTCCTTCACTATCTCCCAGACTTTGCTCAAACTCATGTCCACTGAGTCCGTGATGCCATCCAACCATCTCATCCTCTGTCACCCCCTTCTTCTTCTGCCCTCAGTGTTTCCCAGCATCAGGGTTTTTTCCCATGAGTCAGCTCTTCGCATCAGGTGGACAGAGTATTGGAACTTCAGCTTCAGCATCAGTCCTTCCAGTAAATATTCAGGACTGATTTCCCTTAGAATTAACTGGTTTGATCCCCTTGAAGTCCAAGGGACTTCTCAAGAGTCAGCTTAGGCAGGTAGAAAACACACACCCTGCCCAGGGCTGACCAGTTCAGAAATTCTGTTCAAGTAAAAGCCCTGGGGATGAACCACGCAACTCTGTGGCTTCAACCCTTCAGGCACCTGGCCGGGAGATCCCCAGAGGAGCCCAGTCATCTAGAACCCAGGCCCCCTACCCCCACCGCACCCCCGTGGGCTTGGTCAGACATCCCAAGCACAATCAAGCAGTTCTGCTAACAAGCTTTCCAGGAACTTCCCTGGTGGTCCAGTGGTAAAGAATCCTCCTTCCAATTCATGGGACACATATCCAATCCCTGGTCAGAGAACTGAGAACCCAGTTCCACATGCCTCAGAGCGAGTAAGTCCACACACAACTACTGAGCCCATGCACCACATCGAAAGACCCCACATGACGCAGCTAGGACCCGACACAGCCAAGTAAATAAATATTTTAAAAACCAAGCCCTCCAGGGTTAGGATGCCTGGCGGCGGCCATGCAAAATACCTGGAGATGTATTAGCTGCCACCGTGGGATTAAACATTGAAGTCAAGCCCGTCCAATTACCTAGAAAGAAGCCGTGGGACACAGAAGAGTGGGGCTCTGGTCCCCCCACACCACAGCTCACTCATCCACCCTTGACAAGGTGCCCCCTGACAGGATAAACTGGTTAATAAATCACAGAAATGCTCCTGTCTTAATGCCTTCATCTTCAAAAACGCCGACATTTTGCCTCAGGGCTGAGGGTCCATTTTTCACACACGTGACAGAATCGAAATTGGGCCTCAGATGAAGACAGGCATTTGAGTAGAGGCTTCGTCCGTGGCTGCCCAGCCGCTCGACCTGCCCTAAGTGACACACACTCTTCCGTCCCAGGCTGAGGACAAGGCCAGGAGAGAGGCACAGAAATTAAACTAGTACCTTCCAAACAATTTTGTTTTCCTCTTCTTTAACCTCACCACGCGGCCTGTGGGATCTCAGTTCCCCAACCAGGGATTGAACCTGTGGATACAAGGTGTCCTAATCACTGGACCACCAAACAATTTTCTTTAGTAAACCTTTAGTAGGGTAGCTTCAGGAAGGTAAATACACCACATATCCGTCTGCCGCCACTGTCTGTCAGCTCAGCCTTCCACTGGAGGCTCTGAACAGTTTGCTGAACACGACCGGCCGCAAAACTGACCACTCCAAGCACAGTGAATCCACGAGCAAAACTCTCCTCCAGGAGTTGCAAAATCTCTAATTCCAGTCAGAAGCTTCCACTCATCTGGGGTGGGGCCTGCCATTATTTGCAGGAAAAGAACACAGCTCTGGAGACATCGCCCCCACCCCCGGCCCCTGCACCAAGAGCATTATCTGACTCAAAGCGTCTGTGGAGCCAGGGTTGACAAGCTCCCATCGACAGTAACAACGCAAACCCCACCACAGCTGAAATGACCACACATCATCTCGCCCATCTGGACATTTCCAGGTCCTAACATAATAGCCAGGCACAGAGCAGACCCCCAGCCAGTGTTTGCTGAGTGAGCCCCTACTGCTCCCTGGGAGCTTGCCTGGGAAGAACCTACTACTTACCCTCTGGACCTTTAGGAGGTGGACACTGCTGTCCATCAGGCACAGATGATGAATTCAGAGTCAACAGTTTAAACAGCTGGCCCAAGACCCCAAAGGAGTAAGGATGGAGCAGGACTCAGCCCTTTTCCATCTTACATCAGATCCTACTCCCTCAGCCAAAGCCAGACCCACTCCCGCCTGGAGAAGGATGGCTGGGCTTATTCAGAAACAGCAAACCCAGTTACAACCTAAAGCAAAAACAGCCTCAGGAGACTGTGATGAATACACAGAAGCTGACAAATTCAAAGCTTTCTATTGTCCCCACATGTATGTCTATGTGCTCAGACACTCAGTCGTGACCAACTCTTTAAAACCCCATGGACTGTAGCCCACCAGGATCCTCTGTCCATGGGATTCTCCTGGCAAGAATACTGGAGTGGGGTGCCATTCCCTCCTCCAGGGAATCTCCCAGACCCAGGGATCGAACATTCAGCTCTTAAATCTCGTGCAATGGCAGGCTTATTCTTTACCACTAACACCACCTGGGAAGCCCACATGGTAGACAGTTCAATCACCAAACAACTAAATCCCTATGGAAACATTAAGGAGAGATATCATTTCTCCTTCTATTCATTCACTCACTTCTATACCCGCCCCCCCACCCCATTTCTGGTTCAGGGTCCCCAGGAGTTGTTTCTGTTGAGCCAGACAGGAAAGAAATCCTCCTAGGTGGCATGGCTAAGACCAGGCGCTCTCGGCAAAGACGGCACCCTGGAGCCATGCTGGATTCCTGCTTTGCAAATGGTTTACATCAGTAGCAGCTCCTGGAACATGAGAGTGGATAAGGAGAGCGGAGGGCATGTTCAGGAACCTGGCGATTAACCAAGTCACTGGGCAGAGCCTGATGGAGTTTTACTTGGATACACTGACATTTCTTGACAGCATCTACTTGTTTTTTAATTTTATTGAAGTAGAGTTGATTTACAGATGTTATGTTAATATCTGCTGTATAGCAAAGTGATTCAGTTATACATATATTGTTGCTGTTGTTCAGTCACTACATCATGTTGGACTCTCTGCGACCCCATGGACTGCAGCAGACCAGGCTCCTCTGTCCTTCACCATCTCCTGGAGTTTGTTCAAACTCATGTCCATCGAGTCAGTGATGCCATCCAACCATCTCATCCTCTGCTGCCCTCTTCTCCTCCTGCCCTTAATCTTTCCCAGCATCAGGGTCTTTTCCAATGAGTCGGCTCTTTGCATCAGATGGCATATTCTTTTTTATATTCTTTCCCATGATGGTTTATCACATGATATTGAATATATCAATAGTTCCCTATGCTATAAATATAAACCAGTTTGAATCTGCTAACCCCAAACTCCCAATCTTTCCCTCCCCCAGCCCCCCACACACCCCTTGGCAACCACAAGTCTGTTGTCTATGTCTGTGACTCTGTCTCTGTTTCATAGATACGTTCACTTGTGCCATATTTGATCTGGGTTCTGGCTGCCTGTGAAGAACCACTAGGATTCCTACCCAGTGGCCCGAGTCAAATAAATACAGGAGGAAAAATGAGCCTGTCACTGCAGGCTGAGCGTGGTTAGTTAAGGAAAGAATTTAAGGGAGAATTATGTCCATTGCAGAAAGAAAGTGCAGGAACTGCATGGTGCTTTGGCCTCTCAGATTATTTTTTAAAGATATCTTTTGAGAGGCTGAAAGAATGATCGACCATCTCAGCACAAGTGAAGGGTGATTCCTCTCCACCGAGGGCAGCCTCGAAGGAGAACACAGAGTTCTGAGCTCAGAGCTGAGAGGCCTGGAGCTGGTGCCCTGTGGTCCGCCAGGCAGAGCGGGGAGGCTAGGACGAGAGGGGCATAAGGAATTCATCACTCCTGGAAAGAAACACCCGGCTCGGCTCAAGGCAGGACTCCTTTCGTCCATGGTCTTTCCTACAGGACATTGTTTTCAAAGTAATGAAATAACATCTTCTGTCAGGGCTGTGCATTACAAGGACAACTCAATCAAAACCCAGAGCCCACATGGTTGATTCATGAGTCTACACAGACACCAGACAACTACATCGATTTCCAGATGGGCCCCTGCTACTGGCCGCTGGTAACCTCGGTCACATCACCCCTGCTGCTGCGGCTGCTGCTGCTGCTAAGTCGCTTCAGTCGTGTCCGACTCTGTGCGACCCCACAGACGGCAGCCCACCAGGCTCCCCCGTCCCCGGGATTCTCAAGGCAAGAACACTGGAGTGGGTTGCCATTTCCTTCTCCAGCACGTAAAAGTGAAAAGTAAAAGTGAAGTCGCTCAGTCGCATCCGACTCTCAGTGACCCCATGGACTGCAGCCTACCAGGCTCCTCCATCCATGGGATTTTCCAGGCAAGAGAACTGGAGTGGGGTGCCATTGCCTTCTCTGCATCACCCCTGAGCCACAACCAATGGGTAGAATCAGAAAAGCCCAGGCAATTAGTAAAATCAGAAAAAGATCTTCACAAATTTCAGAATCATCTCTAAAAAGGGCAAATTGTGTTTCTCTCTATTCCCATAGGTGTGTACACAGAGCTTTGCTCAGATGACACAACCCCATAACCAGACCCTCCACATATCCAGGCCACCCCGGGAACACGCCACATTTCATGTGCACATGTACGTCCATGTATACACACACACACACACACACACACACACACACACACGGCAAAGCGGAATCTCTGTAGTTCACTAAACTCTGAACATCAAGGACAAGAGGACAGCGCTGCTGGGAAGGATGCTGCCAAGCGGCCCATCAGGATGGACCGTTCCTGGGGCAGCACTGGCCTCTGCTGCCTGCCTGGGGCATAGCACCTGAACACAGCTCTGGCTGAGCAATTCCAGGGCCTTGGCATCCCCTCCCAACCAAAACTGCTCTGTTCCCCAGCACTAGCCTCGCTGCGATCAGTAACTGAAAGGTGCAGATTCTTCTGAAAACATTAAAGACTGTGGTCCTCCCTAACACATGGCCCTGGTCCCCTCACCCTGCTGAGCAGAGCCCAAATGAGTGGCACTCAGCTCCCACAGCTCAGACCAGACATGAACTGAGCTGAAAAGGCCTCGACCCACAGCTCCCAGGATAGGGGGACACCTAAGAACCCTCTCGGGCATGGATGCTGAGCCCTTGATGAGCCCAGAAGGTGGAGCAGCAGCTCTGAAGGCCATTTCTTACAATGCACCTTCTACTCTGCAGGGCTCTCAGCCACCGAGCTGGTCGGGGTGACAGCAGGCTCTCCGCATGCGGCCTGTCTTGGCGGTGACCACAGCTACAAGGAAAGCCATGGGGAAGGTCACAGGAGGAGGGTTCATCTTGGGACCCCAGTGGTGGCAGAGTGCTCCTCTGCTGATCTCAGGGGATCACCATCCCCTTGACACAGCAGCACTTCCAACAGAAACTGCAGAGCCCCTCCAGCGCCGGGGTTAAAACAAGGCTCGAGAACAATCACTGTGGTCAAGGTGTCTGTCACTTATGGCCTCTGACCTGCCAACTGCTCTTCAAGACAGAGACATATATACCAACCTCCAGAGGAAAATAGCAGGCCTGAAACCTCCCCAAGAAGCTGGGAGCCAACCATCCCATGGTGACTCCCCAGAAGAGGACACAGTCACCATAGTATCTGTCACCACACCAGGCTTTCCAGGGCGTGACTGTCCACTCGAGAAAAAGAATCCAAACAGCCCAGCCCAGGAAGGCAGCACCCCAGCCAGGCTCCCAGCAACACTCCCAGCAACACTGGGGCCACTGCACTCCTACCAGGCCTCGGCAACCCCCAACCGCCTGCCCCAAGACAGGCGCAAAGGTGACTCAGTGCAGAAGCTGGGACAGCACCCTAAACAGCCGCCCACGGTCACATGTGGTTTACAACACACAGCCTCTCTCTAGATTCAGACACCAGACTGAGGGGCTCAGCATGGGCCGTCTGATGGCCGGAATACACCAGTCAAGGTCCTGATCCCCAGGACACACGTCCCCATGGCTGTATCTAATTTCCCTAAACCTCTGGGCACAGCATCTCCCTCTCCTGAACGTTCAGTAAGGACCAGTAACATCAATCCACGCTGCACACAGCATCCTGACTGTGGGTGACAGCCAATGCAGAGAAGCCTGGTGGCTTCATGACTGGGCAAGACCATCCCCCACAAAGAGGACAGCTCGCTCGGTTTGGTCACGTATGAGACCTTCCCCAGGACGGCTGCGGCCACCACCACCACCTCTGTTACTCACTGTATTGTCACCTACTGGGCTTCCCTGATGCTGCGCAGAGAAGAACAAAGTCAACGTCACACCGACCCTCCAACACTGTTCCCTGCAGGACCCACTGCATTCAGGTGCAGCTTGAAGGAGCAGCTGGGAAGAAGACCGCTGGGACACCTCCAGCTCTTGAGGAAAACCCCGTTGTCTCAGGAAGGCCCCTCCCAGCTAGCTACCCGCCAAGCCCACCCTCGGCCGCCCTCCTGCCCCTCACCCCGGGACACAGCTTCTGCCACTCCACTTATCCTGGGCTGGTTCCCTCCATCCCATAGGCTCAGCTCCCCAAGACCATCCTTCACCACCTGCTTATGTCTCCCCTTCTTCCCCAGGGCAGTGGCTGTCAGTCTCCTCTGAGAACTCACCACACCTACCCTTGCTGCCGCCTGCCTGGTCAGCAGACTGTAAGTTGTCCAGGTTGAGAACCACATCCGCCCCATCCACCCAGCACCATCGCCTTGGCACCCGGCCCCATGGCGGGCAGATGGCAGGCACTGGAAGAGACGCTTGTGGGTTTGGTGCAGCTGAACGAGGATGTGACACTCGATCTGCAGGGCGGCCAGACACAGGGTTGCTGCATGGGCAAGTCTGCAGACAGAGACGGGGGCTCCGGACCCCGCCACCTTCTACCTGGGCAAGGCACCTCACTTCTAAATCTCAATTTGCTCATCTTAAAAAAAAAAAAAAATCCTAAACTAAAAAGAAAAAGAAGGGGGGAAGTGAACGAGGAGGAAAACTGGGGAAATGTGACGAGATCAATAATTTCCTAACTTTGTTGCCAAAGCTGGAAGTTTCCATGAAGATGATGAGACCTACAAACCTTCCCTCCCACCCCACCCACCCCCTGCCACCATCCACTCAGGGTACATGACTGCTACACAAGTTTCTGTCTGGAAACAGATGCTGGCTGCCAGGATGAGCTTTGTGGGAGCTCGGCCTGCTGCTCGGGGCATTCCTGCAGTTTGGGGTGCACTGGTGGTGCCCCCAGGTCTGGGTGGAACCCACACACCCGCCAGCCACTGCACCCACCTCATTGAAGACGATCCTGGCTGGCTGCTTGCTGAGTGGCTCTGTGGGTCTCGACGAGCTCTTCCACGTCCTCCCGAAGAAGTACCGATAGGTGACATCGAAGAGAGACACGCGCAGGTGGCAGCCCACCTCTGATAGCAGCTCCAGCACACCCTAGGAGACAAAGGGATGGCCCTGAAGGATCCTTAATGTTGCGAGCCTCCCCACAGATGCTGATGGACCATCTGGGGGAAACTGGGCCACTCAGCATCCATCCCCTGGTTTAGGTATCAGGCCCTTCCTTCCAAGGGACGACCTCTCTCCATGGCCCTCCCTTGACCTCTGGAGGCCCACCCAGAACCAGCAAGGCACACAAGAAGCCAAAGCTGTGGAGATAGATACCCATGACACCATCTGGAACCAAGGAAGAGCAAGTTCAGGTGACAACACATGAGATCCTGCATCAAGCCACACCTGAAGCTTATGCCAACGGTAGGTCCGTCTTTAAGTGAGTTAACAAATTATCTTTCCTTAGGCTATTTTACTTGGGATATTTTTGGGGGGTGGGGGGTGAGGAGGTGTTATTTGTTATTACCATTTACAGCCAAATCATTCCCAGTATAACCACAAACTCTAAATCCTCAGCTTGTCAGAATTATTTGGGTGGGTTGGGGTCAGGATATAAATAAAAGAAAATCTGATCTTTGAGAACCACAGATACAGACAAGGCACCAGAGACTAAACAGACCTGCCCTGCGCCCAGCGGTACCACCTACAGAGGGTTCTGCCTGGGTCTTCAGTGCTGTTACCACCAGCGCACCTGGCAAGAGGGCAGCTCTTACTGTCTATCCAGGACCAGGAATTCTGCTTTCCTTTCACGCAATCATTTAATAAATGTTATTTAAGCATCTATTTTCTGTGTCCACTCTGTGCCAGACACTGTTCTAGGCACTGGAAACGCAACAGGGAATAAAACACACAAAACCTGTATCCCTGGGGCTCATGTGAAGACAATGAAACTGGGAGCAGGGGAAGATGGGTGGGTCGGCTCTTTGAAGAAGACGTCCAGGGAAGGGGCTCTGAAAGACGACATCTAAACTGAGAACTAAGGAGACAGAGTGGGGTGGACGGGAACCAGGAGTGGACCCTGGGAGAATGAATCAGGCAGAAGGAAGCTCTGGGTGCTCAGGAAAATCGTCCTGACTACATGTATCTTTTTTGTTATTTTTAGTCACTAAATCATATCTGACTCTTTTACGACCCTGAGATGAGAGGATTCCAGATAAGAGCCTGGAATATTCTCCTCCTGCTGATGCTCAGGACTGGGGACCAAACCATGCAGCGGGTGGGGAGCTCAGTGTGCACACCTCCCCGGGGCCTGGGCCTCCCCTCGCTGCAGGCACCACCCAGGGCACCAGCATCAGCCCTGCTGGCCCCCTCACCACGCTCTCAGGGAGGTGACCAGCAGCCAGGACCAGGCAACTCCCAGATCACCCGGGAGCTGGGTCTTCTCCCAGCCTCCACACCCCGACCACCCCCTCCGCCTCTCTGAGACTCTGTGCTCAACTCTACTCAGGTAGGTTTCTAGCTGTCTCCTCATGCTGGACAGAGAGCTATGAAGATAGAGTTGGGCGGGGCAGGGGGCGGGGGTGGTCACCCTCTTGTCCCCTGCACAGCTCCAAACACACAGTAAATAACAAGTGAAATAGTCATTCCAAAGGAAAGAATTAGGTTGGTCCAAAAGTTTGTTTGGGTTTTTCTGTAATTATCTTACGGGAAAACTTGAATGAACTTTTGGGCCAACCCAGTAATCAACATTCATGGTAAAATGAAACTAAGCCAAAAAGGTAAATAAAAAGTAAGAAAAACATACTAAAATGACTAATAAGTGATTTGAGTTCAAAATTAGTATGTAATATTTTTAGCCAACACCTTTTACACGGAAGTTTGCTATCATCTAAAGCTATCAATTCTCAAAATAACTAAAACTGTACAAATCTGTAAGATCACCTAAACTGAACTTTTGACTTTTTACCTACTCAATCTTTTAATCGTGGTTGATTTTTGTGTGTAAAACCAACTTTGCATTCCTGTGATAAACCCCACCATGATGTCCTACCTTCTGTATACATTGCTGGATCTGATGTCCTAATATATTAAGGAATTGTGTCAGCATTCATAAGAGATGGCAATCTGTACTTTTCTTTTCATGTCCTTGTCCAGTTTGGGTATCAAGGTTATGATGGCCTCAAAATAAACACCTGAGAACAATTCCCTCCTACTCTATTTTCTGAGTGTTGGTCTACAATTGGTATTATTTCTTCCTTTAATATTTTATTAAATTCAACAGTGAAGTCATTTAAGTTTGGAAATATTTTAATTATGAATTGTTTCTTTAATAAATATGGGGCTATTTAAGTGGGAATTTACTGTGTGACTCAAGGAACTCAAACCCAGAGGGGTGGGATGGGGTGGGAGGTGGGAGGGAGGCTCAAGAGGGAAGAGACATATGTATACTTATGGCTGATCCATGTTGATCAGAAACCAACACAATAGTGTTATTATCTTTCAATTAAAAATAAATTAAGAAAAAATGAATAAAGAAAAAATATACAGAGCTATTTAGATTTTCTATTTCTTCTGGTGTCACTTTTGGTAAATTGTGCTTTTCAAGAAATTTATCCATTTCATCTAAGTTATTTTTATTGGCACATAGTTACTCATAATGTCCCTTGATTATCTTTTTAATGTCTGTAGGATATGTGGTGATGCCCCTTCTTCCTCTCCTAATAATGATAATCTGTGTCTCTTCTCTCTTCTCATGATCAGTCTTGCCACAGGTTTATCAATATTATTAATCTTTTCAAAGAACCAACTTCTAGCTTTACTGATTTTCTCTATTATTTGCCATTTATTGATTTCTAACCATATATTTCCTATTTCCTTCTTCTCTTTTCTTTGGTTTTAATTTATTCTTTTTGTCTATATTCTTAAGGAGAAAGCAGAGATTGTTGATTTTACACAGGCAGACCTCAGAGACAGAGGGTTCAGTCCCAGACCACTACAATAAAGCAAATACAGCAATAAAGTGAGTCACAAGGATTTTTTTGTTTCCCAGTGCATATAAAATTATGTTTATACTATACTGTAATCTATTAAGTGTACAGTAGCATTGTGTCTAAGAAAACAATTGTACATACTTTAATTTTAAAACAATTTATTGCTAAAAAATACCAACTATCATCTGAGCCTTCAGTAAGTCATCAAAGATCATTGATGACAGGTCACCATAACACAGAGAAAAATAATGAAAAAGCTTGAAATATTGCAATATTACCAAAATGTGACAGAGAAATAAAATAAGCAAATGCTGGGAAAATGGCACTGATGGACTTTCTCCATGCAGAGTTGTCAAAAACCTTCAATTTATGGGGGAAAAAAAATACAATATCTACAAAGCACAATAAAATGAGGTATGCCTGCATTTTTCGTCTTTTCTAATGTAGTTATATAAAGTTGTAAGTTTCCCTCAAAGGGCTGCATTAACTGCATCCCACAAATCTTGATATATTTTTATACCACTTAGTTCCAATCACTTTCTAATCTCTCTCTGAATTCTTTGACCCAAGGGTTACTAGTGACCAGAGTGTTGTTTAATTTTCTACTATTTGGGGATTTTCTGGTTATCTTATTGTTATTGATTTTTTAACTTAATTACATATTGGTCAGTGAACATATTCTTCATAATTTCAATTCCTTTAAATTTACTGGGATTTATTTTCATGACCAAGCATATTATCTATCTCTGTAAATGTTCCACAGGCACTTGAGAAGGTTTATTTTATTTGTTGGGTATAGTGTTTTCATGATGACAATTCAGTCAAGGTGGTTGGTGGTGTTCTGATCTTTCACACCCTAATGAGGTTTTTTTTTGGGGGGGGTGGGGGGAGTCTATTCGTTCTATCACTTATTGAGAGAGTTAAAAGCTACCAATTATAAAGGTGAATCTAAATGCAGTTCCCTTTGGTTCTACAAGCTTTGCTTCATGGGTCTGAAAGCTGTGCTGCTGGTTGCTGGGCACAAATAAGATACAACAGCAGGCCAGTTAGTCTTTACAATGCTGGCTTACAGGTCTGGCCCTTGGCTGGAGTTTGCAGTCTGGGGACACAGACTTCCCCACCACCCTAATGGATTGGAATGGCTTACTAGTACTAAACTTTCTGTACAAAGTGATTTATGCTGATCACTTGCTTTCCTTCTGAAGCTCTGGAATCCTACTACGTGCTAAGCAGAGTATGTCTACATGACTAGTTCCCAAAAAGCCTGTTGGGAGTCATACATTACAACCTATTGGCACTGAGTCTCTGACAAGCTTCCTTGGTTGGCAGGATGTCACAGGTATTGTCCCAGCTCGTTGCTGTAGTGTGTCTTGTGGGAATCCCATGGCAGAGGACCCTGGGAGTTCATACCCATTGCCTCCCGTATGCCGTTCCCTTGGCTGATCTTACTCTATTTTTTCACCGAAACAACTCTTTCCTTTGAAGATGACTATGTGCTGAGTCACGTCAAGTCCTCCTAGTCCATCACCAAACCTGAGGGTGACTTTGGGGGCTCCCATCACAGATGCACACACATTTAGGGCCGTCATGTCTTCCTGTCACTGTCAGTATGAGACGTCCCTTTTTTTTTTTTTTTTTAACTGTTTACAATATGTTTATTTTTTTTTTTTTTCCATTGTTGAAAATAGTTCATTTTTTTTTTTTTTTTTACATGTATTCCCCATCCCGGTCCCCCCTCCCACCTCCCTCTCCACCCAATCCCTCTTGGTCTTCCCAGTGCACCAGGCCCAAACACTTGTCTCATGTACCCAACCTGGGCTGGTGAACTGTTTCACCCTAGATAATATACGTGTTTCAATGCTGTTCTCTTGAAACATCCCACCCTCGCCTTCTCCCAGAGTCCACAAGTCTGTTCTATACATAGGAGTCTCTTTTTCTGTTTTGCACATAGGGTTATCGTTACCATCTTACTAAATTCCATATATATGTGTTAGTATACTGTAATGGTCTTTATCTTTCTGGCTTACTTCGCTCTGTATAATGGGCTCCAGTTTCATCCATCTCATTAGAACTGATTCAAATGAATTCTTTTTAATGGCTGAGTAATATTCCATGGTGTATATGTACCACAGCTTCCTCATCCATTCATCTGCTGATGGGCATCTAGGTTGCTTCCATGTCCTGGCTATTATAAACAGTGCTGCGATGAACATTGGGGTACACGTGATGAGACGTCCCTTTATCTCTGGTGATACGCTTCACCTTGAACTCTACTTTGTCTGAAATTAGTACAGCCACAAAGCTTTCTAATGCTTAGAGTTTACATGGGTATCTTTTTTTCCATTCTTTTCCTTTCATACATATGGTTTGAAGACATATATTTAATGTCTTCATGTTTAAACTGTGATTTTTTATAAACAACTTAGAAGTGGGTTTTAAATGTTAGCTTTTACTGTATGACTCTATTCTACAGACAGTGTACATTTTTAAAAATTATTTCAGTGCCATTATCCATTATCATAATGTCTATAAAAGCAAACACCTGGAGTCAGAACAAGTGGTCATTTTAAGGAAGGACCTAATGAATGGATGACAGGTCATTCATACAGGAAAAGCTATGCTGTCTTAAGGAAGAATAAGAAATTCTTTATGAAATGACATGAACACTCTATAACATATATGTGGGGGAGGGGGGAGTTGTTGGTTTTTGTTTATTTTGTTTTTCAAAGAGTCTCATTTTGATCCTTTCTGTCCCATAAATCCCTGAAGAAACCCAATTATGCGACTTTCATGAAAGTATTGACTTTATCTTTGGGAAAGAAGTAAAAATGACCCACATTTACCAATGTATAATACATACTGTTAAGAATATTAAGATATAGAATATAGCAATAAGCGACCATTCATGCCAAAAAAAGAGAGAAACATACAAGCATATTGATTTGTTGTGGTTGCTTAGAATGTCTGAAAGGTTGTACAGAAAACAGGTTAATACCAGCTATATCCAAGATGAGACAGCCATAGGACAATATACTTATCCTGTGTGCCCTCTTGTATTTTGAACTATGGGAATTACCTTTTCGAAAACAAGTTAAAATGCATTAATAAAGTAAAATAGAAAAATAAAAGAAATTTCCTTTGTAAAATTCCTAGGAAAGAGGCAACTCCTGTCTACTATCTCATGAGCCCCTGGTGGCAGGGCTGCTGGAGCCAGTCTCCCTAGCTTGGAGTCCCAGCTGGCCAGCTGGATCTGTGTTACCCTAGGCATCTGACTCCATGTCTCTCATGTTGCTTCCTCTTCTGTAAAATGGGGATAATAATGCTACCTACTTCGTAGGGCTGTCGTGAAGATGAAGTGAACCAACACAAGTAAAGCGCTAAGAAGTAAAGTTGTCAGGGACGTCCCTGGCAGTCCAGTGGTTAAGCCTCTGCACTTCCAATGCAGTGGGCAGGGGTTCGATCCCTGGCTGGGGAATGAGGATCCTATGTGGCACGCAGTGTGGTCAAAAAATAAAACAAGTAAAGCTGTAACAGCAGTAATCACCGCAGTATCTACACGGTCGCAGACACACAGCAGGTGCTCAATCACAGGGTTTGAAGTGATGATGTAGGATGTGAGCGATTTAACATTAGGTTATTCTCAGACCTAGTGTTCAGACAACTCTGAATGCAAGGAGAATTGCTCTGCCAACTACAGAGGAAGAAGATACTGTCTCACCAAGCCAAACCCTACAAGCTGCGTGCTCACAGTGGCAGGCCTGGATCCTTCCTGTGCATTCCCCCAGGACCCTGGGCCTCCCCAGGACTGTACAATCCTGTGGGTGTTCTGTGGAGGCACAGAGACACCAGCTTCTCCAGCAGGTTCCCTGCCAGCTGACGGCAGAGATGGACACAGCGCCCCAGAGCGAGGGCCTGAGCGTGCAAAGGCGGTAATACCTCCACCTCACATCTCCCAGGATGCCCAGAGCTCCACCCCTGCAGTTCTAACCCCCAGGCCGTGCTGAGCCACGCACAAGGCCAGCCCTTGCAAACAACCTGGCCAAGAAATAACTCAGGAAATCAAATTATCCGAGTTTTTGGATTGCTCCACTGGAGGCAGCAAGAAGCCTTGAGTCAGGGTCAAAAGTGCTGACTGAGTCGTTGAATCACATACCCTCTTTGCTGATGGGCCACTTTGCCTCCAAATGCTGCTACCACCTGGGGTGATGGGCGCAGTGAAAGACTCAGATAAACACGTGAAAATCAATATTGTATTGGCTGAGAGCAGTGACAGCATGCATGTGACAGTAAAGAGTCGGTTTCTTTACCTGCTTAATTTGCGGGCCATCGAGCCACTTCAGGACACAGTGAAACGCCGTCGATTCCTTCGCAGGCTGGCGTGCTCTCTGTGGGTGCGGAGGGACCAGCAGGTTTTGGTCAAAGATCCTGCGCCAGTCGTGCATTCTGCTGGCCCCCAGGTCCCTGGGGCCTCTGGGATTACCTGCACCACTGGCGTTCAAATAAATAATAGAATTATGAGGGCCCCAGCGCTTAGAGAACCTCCCACTAATACCAGGGGAACCACCATCCCTGCGACCTATACTCTGCGACCTCCCCAACCCCCACTGCAGCCAAGGACTGGCATCCATGTCGCCTTCCCCTGGCCAATCAGAGCACGCCTACCCCGGCCTCAGTGACTGGTTTAGGGACGGCCACGTGCTCTGTCCAGCTATGGAGGTGGAGCCCTGCACAAGGGCACCAGGCCTTGGGAACTGGGGCGCTTAGAGGGGCCTGGGGGGCATGACCCACTCAGAGCCAATAAGATGTGAGCTCAGAGCTTCTGTTGGTTCTGTTGCAAGAACATTCTTCTCTGGGGCCTTCAGAGCAGAGAGGCCATCAGCTCAGAGCTTGCAAGGGAGACACCACAGGAGTGGCCACCTTGAGACACATACAAAAAGGCAGGCAGCGTGGGAGCAAGGCCAGCGGTCCAGATGTCACCACGAGCCCTGGCTCAAGGGGACCCTGGAGTCCAGCACCCAGGACAGCTGAGCCATAGACAGTCCTACTGGTGGAGCCAAGCGGGGACAGACTGGGTGTTCGGGGTGTCTTGGCGATGAGGTTCAATCAAGATTTTATCTGCCTTCCGGCAGAGGAGGATCTGAACCTTCTCGAGACTGTCTTCAGCTGAAACAGAATCTTAAGCCCTTGGCCTTGATAAGAGGCCGAATTCTACCAAAATGGCCAGCAAGGAGAAAGAGCAGTGGATTTGATCTTCTAAGACAGCAGGTCTCTAAATGCAGTCCACAAACCCCCGAGGTTCCTGGAGGTGGTCAAGGGCTCCAGAGGCCTAGAGCTATTTTCATAACCTCCAGATGCTATCTGAGTCTTTCACTGGGTTGGCATTTGTGCTGATAGTGCCAAGGCAATGGCGGGTGAAGCTACTAGGGCCTCATCACCTCCCGAGACAGAGGCAACCAAAGCCCACAGCCACCCTGTGCTCTTCGCCCCTCACAGCACACAGTCCAGCAGCTTTGCTTAATAAGGTCCCTGGGGAGGCTGTGCACACTATGGATTTTATTACATCTTGACTTGACCCTTGAGGATGCGTGCTTTTAACATTCCATGATAAAAGGGGGTAAAGCACAAAAAGCATTTCTGCTGCCAAATGAAGGGCCAGGGTCACCCCAGGGTAAGACAGGCATGATCGCTGGGCTGCGAGTTGAACTGCCTCCTTCCTGCACTCAGCAACACCATTCTTACTAAAAGAATGGCTCAGAGACAAACAATGGTGATTCAGAAGTGGAAGCTTCAAACACAGTCTGAACAAAATGAACCTGTCACTTCAAGGTAAACTCATAAAAACTGAGCTTTCGGGCAAAATTCAGAATTGGGAAAATCTGTGCCCTCCACTGTGAGCCTGACAGCTTCATAACTCTTGAAGACTTTCCTGACAAGATGGGTAGTGCTGGTAACGAAAAGTGAGCTTTTGAAATTGTGTGAGTAGATGTGTCAATATTTGGAAGATCGGCCTAACTCAGAAGCAGTTATTGTCCGAAAGAACAAGCACAATGATGTAAAGTCTTGCATGAGGGAACGATCCACCCAAAGTGCAAAGCAAACCAGAAGATTTAATGTAACAGTGTGAAAGTTTTCAGACAGGGTGTCAAACTCTGCTCGCAAGAAACCCTTAAGGAACGGATCGCTTGTGAGTTTGGGTACAGCATAGAAGCAGTTCTCTAAGGGCTCCCCCCTGCCCATCTGCATCTCTTTCAAATCCCTTCAAGCAACATGACTCAACACAACAGACTCAACAGAGAAGCTGTACCAGTGAAGCAGTGCCCAGCAGTCTGTGGGCCAGACGTTAAAGGGATTCACAATCATGCAAAAAAAAAACAAAGCAAAACCCAAAAAAGGGTCTTCCCTGCTGGTCCAGTGGCTAAGACTCTGTGCTCCTAATGCCGGGGGTACAGGTTCAATCCCTGGTCGGGGAACTAGATCCCACATGCTGCAACTAAAGATCCTACATGCTGCAATGAAGACCTGGCACAGCCAAATAAATATTTCAAAAACAAACAAACACACAAAACAACCCCACTCTTCTTGCTAATGTTTTTGTTTCAGAAAACATGGCTGGCTTTCATTAAAAAAATATATTCTTATGTTAACACGTAACAGGTCTACTGTTTTTTAATGAATTAATAACACTGTCGACATTTCTCAACAATAAATGTTGTTAGGCATCACTCACATTTTAGGAAGTTATTTGGAGTCCTCAATCATTTTTTAAAGCATAAAGCAGCGTGACACTAAAAAGCTGGAGAAAGGCTGCTCTCAAGGGACTTGAAATGCAGGGCTTCAGGTAGCCGGCCCACCCTCTACACTCACAGGCTGTGCTGGGAATGCAGGGGGGCCCTGGAGGTATGAATGCGGCTGGCCCCCCTGAGATGCTCTCCCATACACAGTGGGCCTCAGCGTGGGGTCCAGCCCCCATTGGAACACCACCCCAACCCTGCACACATCTTGGGCCTTCAGATCCAGACTGTTACTGTATGAACAGTAAGGCACACACGCCGGTTTATGTGGGGTTTTTTCCTTTGTGGGTTATGTTTGTCTGCTCAGCACCCCTTGTTTTGCGGAACTACCCTCCCCAGTTCTGGCCTGAGGGCTTCGGGGCTGGTCTCAGAGATGACATACACTGTGTGTGTCTTCACTGGGACCCCAGCCACGGTGCCCTCTGGACAGGCTATCTCCCAGGGCCAGCTCCTCTGTGCTTCTGCACCCAGCAGGCTTCTGTGCTTTTGGTCAGAGCACATATCAGCTGCACATATCAGCACATACCTGCTCCCTGGCCCACTGCTTGCAGAAGGAAACCTACTCTCCTGGGACCTCGATACTGCACTTACCATCAGAGCTCAATTAATTCAGCCCTGAAACTGAAGTTTCAATAAACTTGTCTCCCCAGTTTTTCTCTTTTTCAGGGAAATGTTTCGTCATTGACATTAGTTATAAAATTGAGAGGTTTATTCCTGCAAAGTGAGAGCCTTCACAGGCTGGGGGGTAACTCCACAGCAAAGCCCTTTCGGCCTCAGAAGCACATGTAGGGAAACACCCTATGGAAGGAGCCCCCAACGGCGGTGTTTCCTGGCTCCAGGACAGCGCCTCCTTTGTAGGTGGCTCCAGATGTTGCTCCCTCGCCCCAGATCTGTAGCCTAGTACATCCCCTGACTTCCCTGGGTGACGAGGGGACCCAATACCACATTTGGCAGGACCAGTTGTGATGACAGGATGGCACTGCAGGAGACGCGCTGGGACAAAAGGCAGGTCTCCAAGATCAAAGCTCTGAGCCAGGCAGGTGGAGGCAGGTGGTGGAGATGGAGCAACTACTGCAGTGGGTGATGGAGGGAGAGGTGACCCCTAAGACACAGGCTCCTGGGAGTAGGAGCCTGGATGGTCCCTGGGGCTCTGTTACACACAGAGCTCTTCCCCTCCTGCCCCACCCCCCACCCAGTGCCCCAAACGTCTCTCACCCAGCCCACACTCCTGTACACTCCATCCTGCCCTCGCTTCAGTTCCTCCCATTCAGCATGCCCTCTATCCCCCTCAACAGGCACATGCATCCCTGGATGAGTCTTCCTCTGTGCCACCTCCCCAGGAAAGCACCCCCACCCACATACCCCCCCCTCGCACGGGACCCTATCACAGAAGAGTCACCCAGCTTCCCCAGGCTACATGGTCACTGACATCCTGCAGGACTGAGCTCCATGAGGTCAGGACTAGGTCCTCAGTGTAAACCTTTCTAATGATTAAGTCAATCACTCAGTTATGCTGGAGAGGAATGAAGAAAGCTGCAGAGGAAGGCAGAGGGGCCTTTGGGGCCGGATGAACCATAAAGAGAAAACTAGGAGGGCCCCATGCTTTGAGCCCAAGAAAAGCATACAAGGAGCTCTCCAGAGGAAGGGGGAAGAAAAGGCACCAACTTTTATTGAGTCCTCATCATAAGCCAGGCACTCACATTTTCATATTTGCTATTGCAATAACTCTGGAAGATAAGTACCACTACTGTCCCCTTCTTACAGATATGAAAAGTGAGATCCTGAGGTTAAACAGCCAGCCTGAAACCATATAGTCAGTCGTACAAACTTCAAAGCCATTATAACCTATGACGGCCCCTCTGCCCACCAAGGGCAGGAGAAGCCCTCAAGGGCAAAGTAAGAGCAAAGAGGTCGAGGAGCCTGGGCTGATCCTTACTCTCCTCTCTGACTTCTGCAAAGTCTCTTGCCCTCCCAGCATCTATCTCCCACCTACAAAAGGAGGGGGGCCTCTGAAGCTCCCTGGAGGTCTTTGCTTCTGCAAAGATCTACCTGATCTACAAATATTCACCAAGCACCTGTTCTGTCCTAGTACGGTGAAGCGGACTGTCAAATACCCTGTCTTCAAGATTCTAAATATCCAGTGGGGAAAAGACTAGGGGGCAATCCTGAGCAGCGCACAGAAGACAAGCCTAACCCAGTCTCCTTTTTTTGGGCAAGGTGGGGGGATGGAGAAGAGGAGGGACCCAGGCACTGAAGAGGTCAGCTGGGCTGAGGTCTCATCAGCAGTGGTTCACCAAGGAAAGGGAGCGACAGGAGCCACAAGGAATTTCCGGGGCACAAGGAAGCTTCCCTCCCAGACACGAAAGAGATCTGGCCTGCCTGAACCTCGAAAGCTTAGGAGTTTTTTTGAGAGTAGACACCAAGTGCATGTGTGTGTGTGTGTGTGTGTGTGGTCAGTAGTGTCCAACTCTTTGTGACCCCATGGACTGTAGCCCGCCAGGCTCCTCTGCCCATGAGATTTCCCAGGCAAGAATACTGAGTGGGTTGCCATTTCCGACTCCAGGGAATCTACCCAACCCTGGGGTCAAACCCATATCTCCGGCATTGGCAGGCAGATTCTTTAGCAACTACACCACTTGGGAAGCAACGCC